AGTTGTGAAACATTACATAATGACGCTAGGATGTTTGTGTGTATTTAAATTCTATTAATATTGATAATAATCTGATGAACAGATCGAAACGTTTATGATATCTGACTGTATATAATTCATTTTAAATAATTGATATCGCTAATATTATCTTGGGCACGTGGAATAAGCCATTTATATTGTATTTTTACTACGAACAATGTTACGCGCAGATGTCGGCCAATATTTTTGACGAACCGCAGCTAAGGTTGCTTGTGCGCCAGCATGCAGATGCCGTTCGTGTTCGCATACAATGATCAATTAAGTGAAGGGATGTTTGCCTGGCAGCAAAATCGGATGCTTATAGTCGTAGAAAACGCTGGCATGTCTTAGTCGACCTCCAACCCGCAAAATTCCTTGTTTATCAATAAATGGATTTAATCTTGTAATTTTACTGTGTGTGCTTATAGATTTATTATTCTTAAGATGATGCAATTCTAGTTCGAAAGCTTCGGATTGTACTATTCTTATAAGAATCAATCTAGATTGCTCAAATTCTTCTTGAGTCAAGGATTGCACCATCTTACCTTTACTGTCCGATTGCAAGGCATGGATTTTTTTTATTCTACAATTTTCTATAAACCTGTAACAGAAGGCGATGACACGTATGAGACGACAAAGTTTAGAGAAACGGTTAAATATACTGAGTTGTGGTTCGACCCTCACTTCCGCCGACAATACTGTAGCCCTTGCTTCGGGCATCTGAACATCCGATGCAAGAAAATTCTCAGAAGGCCATTTTTTCTTTTCAAATTCCAACCATGGACCGTACCACCAGATATTCAAGTCTCGCAGTGCATCAGACATGATCCCCCTAGAAAGTGGATCCGCGGAATTTTCTTGTCCGCCTACGTGCCGCCAATTATTTACATCTGTAATAGTTTTGTTGTGCCGTTGTACGGCACGGTTCGGGATCCACAGAGGACTCGGGAGAGGGTCGCACTAATGAACACTATCTTATAGTTGTTTAGTAAAATATAACACATTTATTTCTACAAGTCACAAGATGTATTGATTTACAATCACAATTCACTTATCATATTCGCTTCGCGATATATCTACTGTAATGATTCGATCGGCGTGACGCGACGCGTTATGCTTACTAACTTGACCGATTTTCTGACCGTTGACCGCAGATGGGGTTGCGCTTATATTTGATATTTTGGGGGTCAGCCTTGGGCCATCCGCGCTGATCCGTCAGCGTTCCGCTTATCGGACGAGGCCGCGGCAAACATCTGAGTTAGCGTTTTCTTTTGTTCCGAGTTTATTTCCCTTCAGGGTCTTTTAAATTAATTTTATTGTTTATCTTATTTTAAATAATGATTTCGTTCGTGTAAGCTAAGCACGTATCGTGGCGCAATGGTCACTTGTGCAATATCGCACTCGTGACAGTTTGTATTTCGGCTACGCGATTGGCTACGAAGGGGGTTCATCGTCGACTACAGGACCGTAACCAACACAAAACGATACACGAGTCGGTCCACAGATACACAGAATGGTAAGCAGTTTAACACCTTTCTCATGAGCTGAGCCAACAATAACGCTGCGCAAAGTTCTAGATGCGGAATCGACAATGCTTTGAGTGGCGCTACACGCGATTTGGAGCACAGCAAATGAACTGCGGTTTGGTTGTTATTATTAATAGAACGAACATAAATGCACGCTCCATATGCTCTTTGACTAGCGTCCGAAAAACCGTGAACCTCTAATCTCTGTAGTTTACCATGTACTATCACTTTGCGCGTTATCTCAATGTCGCTGAGGACTTGTAATTTACATTCGTACTCTTTCCACAATGTGTGTAAGTCGTGTGACACAGATTCATCCCAATCAACCTTTGCGCTCCACAAATCCTGCATCAATATCTTTGCTATTATGACGGACGGCCCTAACACTCCGAACGGATCAAACACCAAGGCTATTCTAGACAATATGCTGCGTTTGGTTGGCTTCTCCAATGGCAATAAATTTCCTATACTTTCGAATTTGAAGACATCCGATTCACAGTTCCACAATAATCCGAGTGCTCTAATCTCATTGTTAACGTCAGAAGTTAGGTTAAGTTTCTTTTCATGAGGACCTCCGACCTCCAGAAGAGCATGATGATTGGCCGACCACTTCGTCAACTCAAAACCTCCCTTCTTAAGCAATTCAGTGATTTGTTTTTTAATCTCCAATGCTTCTTCTAGTGTTGATGATCCAGTCAGCAAGTCATCAACATAGAAGTCGCGTAATATTATTCTTGAACCGATGGGAAATAATTCACTCTCATCTTCTGCTAGTTTATGTATTACTCTAATGGCTAAAAATGAAGCAGAAGCTGTGCCGTACGTGAGTGTAAGAAGCTCGAAAGTTTTCAGCTTGTCTTGAGGGGAATTACGCCATAATATGCGTTGGAAATGTCTTTGAGACTCATCAACAAGCACCTGCCTATACATTTTTGTGATATCCGCAGTCATTGCATATTGGAAGGTTCGAAAGCGTACCAAAATCGAGAATAAATCTTCTTGTATGGTCGGGCCAACCAACATTGCATCATTCAATGATGATCCTAAAGTACCCTTACACGACGCATCGAAAACTACCCTCAATTTAGTTGTTACGCTACTTTCCTTGAGAACCGCATGATGCGGTAAATAGTAAGCCCCTTCATCCTTAACATCCTCAACTTGTTGCATATGCTTCAAATCAATGTATTCCTGCATGAACTTACGATAACGGTAATACATTTCAGTTTGTGTTAACAAGCGTTTTTCCAGGTTGGTGAATCTACGTATCGCGATTTCCCTCGTTTGTCCTATCTGCCGTATTTTTTCTTCATCTATCGGCAGTTTAACTATAAAACGACCTGTGTCGTTACGATGTACATTTTGCTGAAAATTTTCGCAAATTCATTCATTAGGGGTGTAAAGATTAACGTTATTAGAGGAAATATCATGCTCTACTTCCCAAAATTTGGAAATAGACTTATTTAAGTCATCGATCGTGGACAGATGACACAATGCTGACGCCTGCTCTCCGTTATATCCGTACGACGTGTCAGAAATCACCCAGCCTAACTTTGTTTTTTGCAATGTGGGATGCGCTTTACATGCCCTAATTTGGCCTACACAAATGAGCTCCCAAAATACTTGAGCTTCTAGGAGCAAATCAACTTCACCTGGAACGTTAAAGTTTGGATCTGCCAATACAATATTCCACGGTATTTTGAACTCCGAAACAGGATGAAATTCCTGTGGCAACCTTTGTGTGATTCTTGACAAAACAATACATTCGACTTTGTTACGGTATGCATTTATTCTTGAGCGAAAAATTACCTCGACTTGTCTTTTTGAATCAAACGTTCCTTCAGCTATTCCAGAAATTGCCATATGCAATGCTCTACCATTTAACTGTAATTTGTTCGCCAAATCCTCCGTGATAAAATTCAATTGTGATCCGCTATCCAACAAAACCCTGTACGCGGTGCTTGTCCCTTACAATCATATACATTGACAATCGCGATGGAAAGAAACGTTTTGGAGGCACTACTAATCTGAGAGCATTGTGTAACTACCGGAGAAACTGATTCAAGTAAGGCTTCCTGTTTTGAATTAGGTGAGGACGAGGTAAATTGATCATTGCTCTTTGTTTCATTAGTCTTTGACTGAAATGAAGTAAAGTATTGTGTGCTTTCCCGCACTTCCGACATAAACTAGATGAACAGTTTTTTGCCTGATGGGCCTTAGTTCTTAAACAATTAATGCATAAGTGAGCATTTTTTAAAATCTCGAATCTTTTATCTGTCGGAAGTTTACGGAACGATTCACATTGAAATATAAAGTGTGTATCCTTACAATGAACGCAAGTTTGATTTGTTGTAACTACGTGTACTGGGATTTTTGGCCTTCTGAGTACCTCCCGCATCAGAATTCAATCGCATCATGGACAACTTATTAGCGACTGCTTCCAAACCTTGACATGTTTTTGATAGAAAGTCTATGAGTTCCTTGAAAGTGGGTATCGTCGCATCTGGGCGACTTGTCTCCCATTCCTTGACTGTAATGGAATTAGTGATGGGAAAATTTGAAAAAATCGAATTTAAAAATCGATTCCCTTTTCTTTTAAGGATTATTTTCAGAATCGATTCATCGACTTGGATAAGAATCGATTCTAAAGAATCGTATAAGAATTTTTTACTCTTTTTTACATATTAATATATAATTGTCGCTTTTTGGAAAAACGAGGAAAATTTTGGAAAATAAAGGAAACTAGAAAAATCAGGAAATGTTTAAAATAATTCAAAATTACATATTATATTTATAGTATATATGTATATATATTTTTATATTTACATATATTTTTACTTAATTATTACTCAAAATAAAATAATCAATTTTTCATTGCACTAGCCAATCTTTTTTGCTGCGATCACCAATATTCCTTATTTAACGAACTTAAAAATATAATTTTGGAAGCCCGTTTTCCTTTTAACCGATTGCGTTTCTCAGTAATAATATTGCCGGCTTTACTGAACAGTCTTTCACATGGCACGGATGTACCAACAATGACTAAATATTTTAAAGCTACATATTTCGTACAAGTGTGGATGCAGTGCTCTCAAACGCTGCCAAGTTTTTAAAGGACACTCACAGTTGACGCTCGACACTCGATTCGAGCATCAAATTAATCACGTGATCTTCTTCTTAGCGGGAGAATGACCCTGATCAACCAATCACAATAAATTATTCTCATATTCGACTGCGATTAGCCAAAAAGGAACCGATTCTCTAAAAAAAGGAATCGATTCAGTAAGAATCGAGATTCCGAAGAATCAGATAATAATCGAATATTTTGAGTCTAAAAGAATTGATTTTTCAAGAATCGGAAAAGAATTTCCCATCACTAAATGGAATCAAGTTTCGTTATTAATAAATGAATCAACACGTCATCCCAACTATCTACTGGCCGTTCCAACGCTTTAAGAGCTCTGAAATGTTTAAGCATATTATCGAGTAAATTACGTAATGCCGCGCAAATTTCGTTGTGCATTGGAGCACTTTCATACATAGCCCTTACATGAGTTTGAATTATACGCCTTTTATTGTCGAAACGCTCATTTAACAATTGCCATGCTTCGTTATAATTATTTTCTGTAATATCAAATAATTTGATAACCTCAGCGGCCTTATCTTTCAATGATGAACGCAAATAGTGAAATTTTTGTATAGCCGAGAGCTTCTCATTCGCGTGAATAAGCTTATTAAAAGAGTCATGGAAAGTTCACCAGTCTTCGTACGCGCCAGAAAAAGTTGGTAATTGAATTTTTGGTAAACGAATTTGCGAATCTGCATTGGCTTGTGATGTGACGCGAGTGGGATTATTATTGATTGACGCGCGTTCCACGTGATTGATGCGCACATCATACAAACTTACGACGTTAAAATACGCGTCTTCAAATCGAGCGCGTTCTTCGGCATGTGTAGCCGTTACTTGTTCAGTTTCTTGTTCAGCAGATTCTAGACATTCAATTCGCGATTGGACTTCGTCGTATTGTTCGAATAAACTTGTTAATTTATTTTTACGCGCGATCAATTCAAATGTTGTGGCATGCTCAACTTGAGGAGAATCTAAATAATTTTTAAGTCTCGTGGCAGCGGCCTTTATGCTTGTCCTCTTAATTTTTGCTTCACTCTCAGATAAGCTCATGTTGTACTAATAAAATGTTAACAGTAACTTACGTGTAGGTTTACAATGAATTCGTTCAATGTTCGTTACAGATATTATTGAAACTTTACGATGTAACGATGCCTTGTTGATTGATGATCCACTCGTCTGCGTTTGAAATATCAACGCCCGTGCTCGGCCGTTGTTCTCGATGTTGCTGCTGGTATGCCTAATATCTATCTTCAGCCCAGGCTGTTGTGATTCCTTTGCCTGAACGAACGTTCGAAGTTGAAAAATATTGTCTCAGCGTGCCCGGCTGAAACAATATGGCTGCTATGCTTTGTGCACGTGCGGCTTCGTCGTTTCGCGGATAAAGTTACCCACGACTCATGAACCTTTAAGCTTAGAGATTGCCTGTGTCTCTCTTCTAAATTCCACTGCAACTCTCGAGATGTTTGTCTCGAGGCTCCGTGTTCTTCATCAGTCACGAAGTGTGAGGTTGTTTTTCCGTGCGATAGTCTTTCACACGGAAATATCCAGCTCGAAGGACCAATGTTTCTGTTAATGAGGTACTATATTGCTTCCCTCATGCGATGTGTCGCGTGCGTATGTGGACGCTATTTCTTTCGATAAAATATTGACACTGAGACTTTATGAACAATCGCTTTATTGACACAATGCGTCTTACAAGGAAGGTGTGTGTGCCTTGGCGCCGAAATATATTCTGTCTCTACAACGAGAGTACATACATTATAACACGAAAGAAAGGGGTCGCGCTCATCTCTCCCATACGTAGGTTGCCACGATGGACGTGACGACTTAAGTGTCGTGGCGATCACGATACAGACATTACCGACAGATGATACTTATCACTTAAACTAAATGCAACAATTGTAATGAAATAGAAAGAGATAGAAATAGTTCTATCTCTTTCTATTTCATTACAGTTACT